AGAGACATCCAAGTTAGAACTGCAGTGAGATGCTGTTGTATTTCTTTAGAATGCCTTGATTGAAATAGTAATAATGCTAAGTGTTCATTAGGATGCGGACCCACTGGAATTCTCAGACCTTGCTGGTGAGATTGCAAATGATATAGTCACTCTAGAAAAACGTTTGGCAGTTTCTTTAACAAGTTAAACATATACTTACCATTTGACCCAGTATTTATTTTAGAGGAATAAAATTCACACACAAAAATGTATGCATATCTGTTTGTAGTAGCATTGTTCATGATCACCTGAAGTGGGTAAATGAACAAACAATTATTTTATATCAATGAAATACTATTCAGCAATAGAATGAATGAATACTTTATATAAAGTAGTGTGCTAAGGGAAGAAAGCCCTTCTTATGATTATATGTTATATGATTGCATGTATATAACATTGTAGGAACAGAAGACAGATTAGTAATTGCTAAGAGTTAGGGGAAAAGGGAAGGTCTGACTTTACAAAGGATGGAATTGTTCTTATCTGGTTTGTGGAGGTGATAACAAAATGCTAGGTATATGTTAAAGCTTATAGAACTTAGATTGAAAAAAAGTACATTATCTACTGTATAATTTTTTTAAACAATAAAAAAATAGCTCGTACCTTCTATGCATGTATCAAAGCCTAGTCATACATTTAACAGTTGTGTGTTTCACTGTGTTCTACCTCATCTAAAAATAAAGAGTTGTAAACAATGGAAAAGTGGAGGATGGAAGTGAACACTTAGGTGTCCTTGTTAGGAAAATTGTGCCCTAAAGTGCAAAAATATAATTTTGCTGACTATGGTAAGGATCTTTTAGCAGATTACCACTTTGTTTTCTTGACCATTTATTGTTGTCTCACTGATTATTACTTCTTAATAATGATGGATAATTTCTGGCCAGGTGCTAGATAAGAGCCCTTTTGCAATCCCTTTTTCTGTACATCAGTTCAGATTCATTGGATCTCCCTTGTTGTTGCCTCTTGCTCACAATTCTTTAATCTGTTGACAAGAGGAGAAAAATCAAGTCAGGGAAAATCTGTCTTGCATGTTCTCTACAGATTTGTCACATTTAAGATTTAATCATTCATGAATTATTTCTAAACTAGCAAATGCAATTCATACTGTATTAGTTGTGATAGTCTTTGGCCCTTATGAAACCAAACTAGTAGGACCTCCATCTTAAACATTGTAGACCATTTGCGTTTCTATAGATATTATTTCAGCACTTTACTGTGGGTGACAGTAGATGATGTCAGATTAAATTTAAATTGATCCTCTCTCAATGTTTATCTCTGGTGCATGTGCAATTACTTCAACACCAGAGAACCTTTCAAAGGCAGCCTGTCAATACAGCTACCTGACAGTCATTTGTATTTGTAAACTGTGCATTTGGCACCTGCTGGTCTCGGTTGCATTGGAGCTAGTGGGGAGCCAAAATGGCTGTACAATGAAGTTATTGGTTGGTACATCTCAGTGGGAGTTATTGAAGGGGAGAAACAGCACTTCCAGGACCTCAAGAGAGGATAAAAAGAAAATGAAACTGGTAATGTCAACACAAGCCAGCTATTCTTTGCTACCAAAAAATGATTTAAAGAGTCAGTTCTACCCAAGGAATGATAGTATATGTGGACCTCCATTTTAATTCTTGTCAGAGATGTGAAAAGCAGTGTTTCTGCTTAAGTATATAACGAATTTTTAAAAGTATCAAGATCTCAGTACAAGGTAGATAATTCATATAAGCAGAAATATAAATTGAAACAAACAATGGAAAGAAAATACTTAGTTTTTTGAAGACATAGATATTAAAATGCAGGTACGTTTTACTCAACCAAATTAGCCAAAAAAAAAATAGTTTAAAAAAAAAATAAACAACCATGCTGGCAGAACTTCAGAGAACAAATACTTCAGCAAATAGCAGAAATTGACTTATGTTTTTTAGGTATGATTTGCCCACACTTTGTCAAAAGTTCTTATTCTTTAACACAGCAATCCTAGTTTATCAGCTGTAACTCAAATAATTACAAAGAAGAAAGCCTCATATAAGTCTGCTTAATTAATTATGGTCTGTTCTGCCACAGTGCAGGTCTCTGTGCTGTAAATTTGCTTATACATGATTGGTGATTAAGGGAATAATGGTCATAGTGGAGTTGTATTGGTTCATCTATCATTTTCCTCAGAATGTTTTGAAACCATGAGATTAAACTTTTTTCACAGTTAAAGACTTTTAGGGATTGATGAAGACCTCCAAAATAAAACAAAATAACTGAAAATCGTGCAGAAGTGCCTTTCTAGTGGAAAAAAAGTTGGCTAATGGCTCTGAGAAGTACTTTGCCTTTTTTTTTTTTAAGTTGTCAATGGGCTTTTATTTTTTTTTTATTTATTTATATGTGGTGCTGAGGGTGGAATTCAGGGCCTCACACATGCCAGGCAAGTGCTCTGCCACTGAGCCACAACCCCAGCCCCAGTGTTTTGCTTTTAAACTGTCCAGTGAGGTTACATGTGTGGTTGAAGCAGTTGTGAAGACATTTCTGTCCATATTTAGGAAAAAATGTGACAATACTACACTTGGTTCATATTAATTTTATGAAACTGATTCTTACTGGCAGTGAATGCCTTCAAGGACCTGCATTTCTAAAGAGGACTCATTAGCTCCAGGATAAGGTTACAAGGGGCACTTGGTTCAAGTGATGGTGGAGGTTGAGTGATGCCAGTATTTTTGTTGTAGGCTGTTTGTACTCTGGTTGCAAGACTGCGTGCTTTTAAGTGGTTAGCTCCTAACATTAGTTTTTCCTTGAGCCCTGTTATTTTTAATATGATTTTGCAGGACCTAGGTTTTTAAGTTATTTGTGTATATGTATATTTTTTCTTTTTTTATTCTAATTTGTTATATATGACAGCAGAATGCATTACAATTCATATTACACATATAGAGCATAATTTTTCATATCTCTGGCTGTGTACAAAGTATATTCACACCATTCATGTCTTTATACATGTACTTAGGATAATGAGATCCATCTCCTTCCACCATCTTTTTTACCCCATGCCCCCTCTCTGATCATCCCACCCCTTTGCTCTATCTAGAGTTCCTCTGATTCTCCCATGCTCCCCCTCCCAACCCCACTATGAGTCAGCTTCCTTATATCAGAGAAAACATTTGGCATTTGGTTTTTTGGAATTGGCTGACTTCACTTAGCATTATATTCTCCAATTCCATTCATTTATCTGCAAATGTCATGATTTTATTCTCTTTTATTGCTGAGTAATATTCCGTTGTGTATATATACCACATTTTCTTTATCCATTCATTTACTGAAGATCCAGAATAGCTAAAGCAATCCTTAGCAAGAAGAGTGAAGCAGGTGGTATTACCACACCAGACCTTAAACTATACTACAGAGCAATAGTAACAAAAACAGCATGATATTGGCACCAAAATAGACTGGTAGACCAATAGTACAGAATAGAGGTCATAGAGACTAACCCACATAATAACAGTTATATTAGACAAAGGTGCCAAAAACATTCATGGAGAAAAGATAGCTTCTTCAACAAATGGTGCTGGGAAAATTGGAAATCCATATGCAACAAAATGAAATTAAACTCCTATCTCACCATGCACAAAACTCAACTCAAGGACCTAGGAATTAATGCAGAGACACTGCGCGTATTAAAATTAAAAAGTATGCCCAAATCTCCATCATGTTGGATTAGGCCCCAGCTTCTTTAATAATACTCCTATAGGACACGAATTAAAACCAAGAATCAATAAATGGGATAGACTCAAACTAAAAAGCTTCTTCTCAGCAAAAGAAACAATCTATGAGGTGAATAGAGAGCCTATATCTTGGGAGCAAATTTTTACCACTCACACATCAGATAGAACACTAATCTCTAGGGTATATAAAGAACTCAAAAAGCTAAACACCAAAAAAACAAATAGCCCAATTAATAAATGGGCCAAGGAACTGAACAGACACCTCTCAGAAGATAATACACAATCAACAAATATATGAAAAAATGTTCTACATCTCTAGCAATTAGAGAAATGCAAATCAAAACCACTCTACGATTTCATCTTACTCCAGTCCAGAGTGGCAGCTATTAAGAACACAAACAATAATAGCTGTTGGCGAGGATGTGGGGAAAAAGGCACACTCATACATTGCTGGTGGGACTGCAAATTGGTACAGCCAATCTGGAAAGCAGTATGGAGTATGTAAGATGGGAATGGAACCACCATTTGACCCAGCTATCCCACTCGTCGGTCTATACCCAAAGGACTTAAAAACAGCATATGACAGGGACAAAGCCACATCAATGTTTATATATTAGCAGCACAATTCACAGTAGCTGAACTGTGGAACCAACCTAGAAGCCCTTCAGTAGATGAATGGATAAAGAAAATATGTTTATATATGTATATATATATATAAAATTAAGAAAACTATATAAATGTCTAGTCATAAATAGTGTAGTTAAGTAAGTTTGGGTATAGCATTTTGACAGCTTACAATGTGTCTGTTAAAATGATAGGCCTAGAGCTGGGCACAGTGGCTCATGCTTGTAATTCTAGCAGCTAGGGAGCCTGAGAAGGAAGATCACAAGTTCAAAGCAGCCTCAGCAATCTAGCAAGACCCTGTCTCAAAAGAAAAAAGAAACAAAGGCTGGTGATGTTGTTCAGTGGTTAAGTACCCCTGAGTTTAATCCCTGGTACCACCCCCCAAAAAAAATTAAGCATAGAAAAATATCTATGAAACAAGTACAAGAATTAGAATATAAAACTGAGTATTTAGATGCCATGTTTACAACCATATTGACATATACCTGTCCTGTAATAGTATGGTGGGATTGATGGGATTGTTGGTAAAAAATTTTTTTAAGTTTTTTTTTTTTTTTTTTAATATTGTGAGATTGGTAAAATAGAGGTAAGAGTGTTTTGCCAGTTTAAGGTATTTTTATTTTATTTTGGTTTTAGAATTCCTGGAAAACTCAAGCAATTTGTGTTTGATTTACATTCTGGAAAACTGCACAGAGAATTCCATCATGGACCTGACCCAACTGACACAGCCCCAGGAGAGGTAGGACTCTTGCTTGTTTCCCAATGAGAACTCTTTCAGAGAGGATCTGAAGTTCCTGAGTTGGCTTGAGTTTCAACTCCTGAATTCTGTGCAAAAAAATTCTGAATATACCCTAGAAAATATACAAATTGTGCTACTTTCAAATTACTTTTAAAAATCTTAGGGCTTCAGGGCTGCGGTTATAACTCAGTGGTAGAGCGCTTGCCTAGCGTGTGTGAGGCACTGGGTTCAATCCTCAGCACCACATAAAAATAAACAAAGATATTTTTTAAATCATTAAAAATACGGCTTCAGAAATGTGGAATATTACCATAGTTTCTTGATCATTTCAACTAAGGTGGTTTGATTATGACCTCTGCAGAAAACTACTGCAAAAGGGTTAAATACAGTTGGCTTCAGATAAAAGTAGGAACTAGGAGCAGATAAATCACTGAAGTCAGTGGATTCTAGTGATTATTCAAGCCTTCCTGTGTCTAGAAGATTGAACATACTATAAAGAAAGCAATGATTTTTGCTATTCTTAACCAAATGAGTTTAGAGTACAGTATTGATAATGCTCAAAACTTATGGTTTAATGTAGCTTTCCTATTTGAGATTTAGAATGCTTCACGACTGTTTATAAAAATGTTTGCTTTTATTTGCATATACAAATTCTTAGTTAAAATATGTTTAGTCAGGTGTGGTAGCATACACTTGGAAACCTAGTGACTTTGGAGGCTGAGAAAGGAGGATCACAAGTTTAAAGCCAGCCTTAACAACTTAGCAAGGTCCTGTCTCAAAATATAAAGGGCTGGGGATGTGGCTCAGTGGTTAAGCACCCTTAGGTTCAATTCACTGTATCCCCAAAAATAAAGAAAAGAAAAAGAAAAAAATATATTTAAATACACACACACACACACACACACACACACACACACACACATATATATATATATATATATATATACACATATAACCTGAGAATTTTACTCTTTCTACTTTGTAACTTCTCTTACAAGTTATTTATTTCTTTGTCCCTGCTTTACTAAACAGCACTAAATTTGCATTTTGATATGTTCTGGTTTATAGAATGTCTAATACCATGAAACTAAGAGGGGAAAATGCCATGTACCAAAATCCCTTCTATTTTATATGTCTGTGACTTAAATCCACTATTTTGCCCAAAGAACCTCCATTTGTGAAAAATGAACTTTATTTAAGAGACAGATTAGGTTCAGAGTTAAGAGTTCTCTTTGGGAATCTGATGACATGTTTTTTCCTTGAAAAATGAGATTAGACTTTTCTTTGATAAATAGAAGGAGACAAACTTGTTACTGGCAGTATAACTCAAAGGTGATTCTTTTTCTCAGAAAAGACCTGCTTAGCATTCTATCAGATTAGGAAAGATGTGGTTTACCATTATTGTAGTGTCCTACCATGTGTTTCTGCTTCTCCATTAGACAATGAACTCCTGTATTTTTTTAATTCATCTTTGTATACTAATACCCGGAGGGGCACTGAATACTGTAAATGTTTGTTTTATAGTAACATAACTTAAACTTAATTAATGTAAACATGTATCTCAGCAAAAATTTTAAATGTACTAGGGAAGTAGAATATCAGGAAGTCAAATGGTAAGTTTGTAGACACCTTGCTTTGTGTTTCAATGACAGTGTGCTAATATGTATAGTGTGTAATATATGCACTATGTGCCCATGTTCATTATAGGGGATGTTAAAGTGGTGACATTCAGGCCTGCTCTTGAGGGGCTCACAATGAGGAGATAAAGGGTCAGACTACACTGCCTTTTCTTTATAATTCTTGGAAGTCACTGTTCCAGTTTCACCATATATTTTGGTTTTCTACTGGTATACAAATACTACAGAAATTAATTTCTTTCAGTATTGTATATTTTTCACTCCCTATTTAAACCAAGCTTTGAATAATTTCTGGTATCTGAGTAACTGATAAATAAGATCTGCAGAGTAGGTGCCTTCCATTCTCTTAGCAGTCCTTTGTAAGAGGGATAGGTTGAGCCAACCTCAGGTTGTGCATCCTATAGAGAGAATCTGAGTAAGGGCATTTACATGAGGAAATCAAGGCTTCACACTTAACTCTTGTCTTTGGCACACTTGCTATCTTTTATTGATTAATAAGGAAAGAATTATAAGGCAACCACCATTCATCTAATACTCCTATTTAAATATTTCAACTCCATAAAGTATAATGATACAAAAATGTCTCGTTTTTTTCTTTTGTAGCAAGTCCAGGATATAGCAAGCAGTCCACCTGAGAGCTCCTTCCAGAAGCTAGCACCCAGCGAATATAGGTATACTTTATTGAGGGATCGAGATGAGCTTTAAAAACTTGAAAGACAATTTGCAAGCCTTTCAACAGCAACATCAACTTACGTGGTGGAAATAGTAAACCTATATTTTCATAATTCTATGTGTATTTTTATTTTGAATAAACTGAAAGAAGTTTTGGGTTTTTAATTTTTTTCCCCTCCCCCTGACTCAAAATACATTGTCATTTAATATAGCCTCTTTTTAAAAATCTGCTAGGGTTAAAAAAATAAATAAAAACCAGAGGCCTCTCTTCGCTTTAATTCTGTCCTGTACAATTTTTATAAATCAAGTGAACAGTAACATTGCCAGATACATACCATTAACTTGCACTATAGGTTAGGGAGGACTTAGGGATGTTTCCTATTTAAATATGTGCTTTTCTTTCTTTTCCTTTCATATGATCAATTCTGTTGGTATTTTCATTATCAAATTTCTGAAAGCTAAAGGGGTATATATTCTGGATACTTGGGAGGGGAATAAATTAAAATTTTCACACTGTGTACTGTGTTTTACTGATTGGTTGGATGTTGCTTATGAAAATTCCATAGTGGTATTTTTTTTAATTTTTAATGTGTAACTTAAACATACTATGAAGAGGAGGAGAGCCATAAGCCAGAACATTTGGCAGAAATTGTCCTTATGAATTAAGAAAAAGAAAATGAAAGTATTATTAAATTTCTGTGTCTTTGTCTGAGAAAGCAGCATATGGATGGCATTTAAAACTTTGAATGAATTATACCTGAATCTGGGAAGGGAAGATACTGTGGAGCAGGTTAATAGTATTGAACTAGATAACTCTTAAGGCTCCTCTTATCATAAGACTTCAGTTTACTAAAAGAAAACCAGCATAGAAATTGTATTTCAGTAATTTTAAGCCTCCTTCTGTCTTGTAGAGTCTTATTATAGCTGTATAGAAAAGACAATAAGAACATGTACATTTAATTTTTTCCCATTGTAAATTTGTTGGAGGATCCTCCCCCCTCTATATTCCCTGATTTCCCAGGCCTGCAGTGTACAGTTAGATGGTCCCTGTGCCAGGCCTCAATACTGCCAGGGAGAAAAACTAGAGGGAGAGGACCCTTGGTGTCATTCAGGAATCCCATGGCCAGAGGACAGACAGGTCCAAAATTGGCTTTCCTCTGGGCCTGGGTTGGTGCTATAGGCTAAGGGTCATTTTCTACTTGGGGTATGAATCAATTCCAGTTTGGGGAAAGATTATTTTTAAGCTTAAAAGGTTGACATGTGCCATTATATGTAGTATGTAATATATGTAACATCTTTCAATCCTTTGAAAATAAAATGAATATTTATAATGGATATTTAATAATTGTTATTTTTAAAATCAGTCTAGAACTCTTAGTTATGCATGATTTATTCTTAATTTCCATAGTTTTGTTCACAATAATCAATGTCAATGAAGTGATAAGTGGCATGTTTAGAATACTTTATTAGGAAAGTAGGTAGAGTTTGGGCCTTAGCTCCTTCCTCTTCATTGTTTTTAATTAATAACTTGAATGAAGTCAGAATTGCAGTGTTCAAGTCAGAGGATAGGCCAGATCTGAGAAGGTCAGGATGAAAATTCTTAGGTACAACAACAAGCTAACATACAAGACCAAAAGCCAGCACATGCAGTTAAGTTGATTAAGTTGTAATCCTGTAGTTAGGTTTGAAAAAATAATAAAAGATAGCACTCAAGTATTGGGTTGCAGAGAGATGGCTTTAGAGTATTTATTATGAAAAAGCCTCAAGGAGCACATGTTCAACGTGATCTAGGGTAATAGTTATTAAGAAAGTGATTGGATTTGAAGATGCATTCTTTAGCTTCATACCTGTTGGACTTGGGATCTAGCCCTGCCACTGTCATTGTCTTCTCTAGACTGAAGCCATTGACGACAAGAATACTGAATTTTATGTATCTTTAGTGCCTAGCATTTCTGGATACTTAGCATTCATCATCAAATGCTTATTAAATGAATGAGAAGCAAAGTGACCTTGGGTAATTTTTGTATCCCTGAGAATGCCCAGCATTCATCAGGACTTGATGCCCAGTTTTATAAAAAGCTATTAACATGCTCAAGAGCATTCCATGAAAGGATAGCTTAGGATTTTAAATTTTGAAACATAAATGTGAAGGCTGTTTTGCTTGGAGAAGACTTGGGTCCAGGAACAGTGTAAATTTGAAGGGCCGGCATGTCCAGATTCCAGGAATCAAACTAGGATCTGAAGAAGTTATGGGAGGCATAAATAAATGTATATTCAAGGTCAGTTTTTTGGTACTATAATATGTGAGAAGGATACAAAGATGGATAAGGCATAATTGTGTTCCTTACAGTCGTGTCATTCAGATGGATGTGTAAATAACATCTGTAACAGGTGTAAAGGTAGAAGAAAATAGGGGTTAACCTGGCTGGCATAAAGGAGCACTGAGTTCCCAAGATTTTATTGAGATAACTTTCAGGAGATAGGGATCTAGACAGATGGAATAATGTGAGCAAAGGTATGAAACAGTCAAGTGCATTAGAGAACACAAGAAGTTCTTATAGGAGGGCTAAGTGCAGTAGAGGTTGGAAGGAAATGAAGAAGATGGGAGAAGGAAATGGAGCTGATCACAGAAGGCCTTGTATGGCAAATAAGGGGGTTGTACTGTGTGTGTATTGTAGTAGAGATCTGTTAGCAGGTCTTAGGGAAGTGTGTTCATATTTAGGGTTGAGAAAGAGTATTACATAATTCAGACTTCCTCTGAATCAGAGAATGTTACAGTAGAAGATTCCTAGTTGACTTGTGTCCAGGCTGTGGGGGTGAGGGCGCAAGACCAGACTGAATAGCACAGTTGAGTAGCAAACCAGAAGCTTGTCTTTCTGCTTCTCTGCCAGCTTCCTTTTCCAGTTTTTTTAAAAAATTGTACCAGTCATGAGAGGGGACCAGCAAAAGATGAAAATTTTCTTTAGATGACATTCTAAAAAAAAGTTTTTTAAGTTAAATGAACTTAGAGAGGAAGATAGAGAATAGGCATCAAAAATACAGAGAGCTCTCTGATGAAGTCAGGTTGTCAAAAATCATGTGCAGAAGAAGGGGAACTGGCATGATAAAAGCTACAAAGAGGAGCATGAAATATAAAACAGTGTTTGAAAGGGTAAAGCTCAGAATAAGCTTAAATTTATAGAAAATGCTAAAGTTGCCAAGAAGGCTTTTTTTTTTTTTTTTTAAACCTGAGTCAAGGCAAAGAGAAGAATGGATAAAGTAGCGTAATGGATCGACAATCAGGAAAAGCAGAATAACTCAATTTTTTTTTCTTTGACAAAGAGAGTCTGGTTGGGCAAAAATAAAGTGACATAAAATTGCAAAAATTGGAAGTAGAAAAAGAAAAAAAACCTTGCCACCTTAAATGATTTCAAGACTGTTAGACCCACGCTTCTATATCCCAGAGAGCTACCGGAAGTTGCAAATGCTTTCTGTTAGCAATTATTGGGAATTTTTGAGAAACCATGGAGAATATAAGGTGACAGAAGACTGGAAATGGGCAAATAGTGTTCCAGTTTCCAAAATAGTTATAGTTAATGGCTTTAGCTATTTTTCTAAAATAAAAACTCATGAATCAAACTGTAATGTTAATAGTCTGTATTTTGAGGAAAAATTTAAATAGGTGTAACCAATTTTTAAACCCCATATTTAAAGGCCCTGCAGACAGTAAGTTGTTTCAGGACTTAAGTTGTTTAAATGCTGAATATAATTGACGTATGTGTTCATTAAAACAGGTTGGATAGGACCTCTGCTTAGCAATTGTTTTTAGCTGTGTTTGAATTTTTGTATGTATTCCAAGTAATAAAACTATATTTATAAAATATTTCTATATTTGAGACTTTTTACTAATTCACTATGTCATAAATATCATATTGTGAACATTTTACTCAGAATATAGGTGACCAAAGTTACCAGCTTTTTTCAGGTTTAAAGTTATTTTCCAGGTCATTTAGTTGTACTTGATTCAGAATAGAAAACTATATGAATACATGTGCTGATGACTCAAACCCAGCCCAGCATCAAAGTTCCCTCACATTGGGGAAAGGTTGCCCTGCCTTAGACAATGGGGTTTGGACTCTTAAAGAAAAGTCAATTTACAAATGACTGTAAAATACTCTTCTTCAATCTTGCCTATCAAATTCATCCTTCAGTGTTAGGGCAATTGTCACTCACTGTGATCTCACAGCCCTTTATGTGGTTTAGAAGTTGGAAGTACACATATCCCTTTTCTTTATCACATGTGAATGCAAGTTATTACAGAAAACAGAAACCTAGTCTTTGTATGTCCAGTAACTTGGTATATTGAAAGTGCTCAGGAAATCTCTGATGAGAAAGAAAAATAATAAGTGAAGGAACAACTAAGGGACAAGAAATTACTACCATAATGGAATGGACTCTGCTAACTAATATGCAAACCTCAATTATCTGACAATTTTGTCAGTTGTCTCAAATGTGTTTGGGTGAATCCTGTCACCTTCAATCTTACATCCTAAACTGATTTTGGGATCCTCAGAGTTTTGTCTAGAATAAAATATTGCACAGTACACCAACCTAAGGATACATAATTGTTAAGATGATGTGCAAGTGCCCTCTTGGGCGATAGAGTTCTGTAGAAGTGCTAGGAAATTTCTCATGAACTGCACATTCTAAAGTAGACCTGACCACTTGTTTAGTCCCTCAGCTTCATGGAAGGACAAAATACAATGAGTTGACAAAAATGGCATGTGTTCTTTATAAAACCCTTCAGTAAGCATTGATTACTGTTGCCAGGCTAAAGAGTCAACTGTTAACAAGAGACTGCCCCTACCATCATGGAGCTGGAAGCTGAGTGAAGGAGCATTGATGAGGAACAAGGGGATTGTGATAGAAGGTTATAATGCTGTGATGTGAGTTAGCTATAAGGAACATGGAGGTGTGTACAGCCTTGAGAATCAGGAGCCTTCCTAGAGGAAGTGGTTTCTTGACTAGGAACAGAAAGCCCTATTTCCTACCTGAAGCAGGCTCCTCTCCTCCAGGAGAACAGTATTAGGAGAGCTATCCCTATCCTGTTTGACAGTAGTAATATATGCTAGGTATTGCTGACCTGTCCTTTCTCCAAACTCTTACCACTTAGATAAAAGGTCACGTACTTGCCTATCTGATGTGTCCTGTGTATTTTACATGTCAGGATAACCCTGACAAAGGAAGCCGTATGCCCACAATCTTGGTGCACTGTGTAAACTTGCCCAGGTAGGATTTATCCTTCAATCTTGGTAGGCTGGTGCTTTGTTTTCTCTCTAACCACTGTCCAGGAAGGAGAGTAAAACATAGCATCCCCTGGCTATGCACACAGTGAGGGAAGTAGAAGAGGGCGTCAGTTCTGACTTCATAACGAGCATGGCTTTCTGATGTAAAACTTAACAGTACATTTCAGAAATTTTGTAGAATTCAAAGGGAAATTCCCTGGTCTGTAGCTTCTAGATTCCGACTTTATCCCT